ACCCACTTTCACACACGGACGTGCCATCATCACCCACCTTCACACACGGACGTGCCATCATCACCCACCTTCTCACACGGACGTGCCCTCATCACCCACTTTCACACACGGACGTGCCATCATCACCCACCTTCACACACGGACGTGCCATCATCACCCACTTTCACACACGGACGTGCCATCATCACCCACCTTCACACATGGACCGGGGAGCCCGTTTCAGTCCTGGCAGGAGACCAACACGTAAGTCCCGAGAAATGCCGGGTGATGCGCGCTCTATCCCACGGTTGAGCTCTGGTCAGTACTGAGTTTTCCCCCTTTCTTATACTAAATTGGGCGCTGCATGCGAGCAGAGGACGAGCTGGCCAGGTTCACCCCTCCCATCAGGCAATGCGCTCTTAATTTTCCAATTTTGTCCGGGTAATGCTGATTGCGGTTTCAATCAAGGATAACAAGACAAGTGTCCTTGAGGAACGCTTTCCCTTATTCCCGAAGACGAGATAAATGTCCCGGAAACCGATCAGAGCAAGGTTTTTTTTTAGGACGTTACAAGATAAGAATCTTGACTCCTTTCATGAGAAACAAGTTATATAAGTGATTAATGAAAGACATGTTTGTGCAGTTCGACCTTGGCACAATAATATTATGGGTGAATCATGAACGACGTATTCGAATCTCAGGACGATTAGTCCAAACACTCAATCATCTCATATGTATGACAGTAACAGGAGGGCAATGATTAATTCTAGGGGACGTAATCATCTGCAAGTTCATCCTAATACACTTACGATCCAGAGCTGTAACAGGCTATTGAATCTGCAACTTTGCCCCCCCCCCCGGGACATATATAGCTGCTCATCTAGAACTGTGTCCAGGCATTTTGGTGTTTCCCCTATGTAACAGCATGATTAGTATGATTTATATGGATGCATTGAAATGCTTATGAGCTTATTTGCTTTGAATAAAGAGCGGTACTTAATATACATAATACTTCACGGGCAATTAACTTTAAACAAAATAAATCTCGACGAAAAGTCATCCTGCGTCCTTAGCCACAACGGCAGAGGTGTCATGCTGAAATTCATCTCAAGAGTCTTTCCTGACACATCTGCTGCACCTGTTGATTCGACCAAACACCAATCAAAAATACTTATACTATCCATTCATCCCTCATTTATCTACCTCGTATTCAGGGATGGGTTGCGGGTGCAGCAGCCTAAGCAGGGATGCCCAGACCTCCCTCTCACCAGCCACCTCCTCCAGCTCCTCCGGGGGAATACCAAGGTGTTCCCAGGCCAGCCGAGAGAGATAATCTCTCCAGCATGTCCTGGGTCTGCCCCAGGGTCTCCTCCTGGTTGGACATGTCTGAAACATCTCCCCAGGGAGGCATCCTAGATAGACGCCTAAACCACCTCAACTGGCTTCTTTTGATAGGGAGGAGTAGTGGCACTACGTCAAGCTGCTCCCAAATGTCCGAGCTCCTCACCCTGTCTCGAAGGCCAAGTCCAGAAACTCTGCAAAGGAAATTCATTTCTGACACTTGTATCCATGATCTCATTCTTTCGGTTACTACCCAAAGCTTGTGATCATATATGAGGGTAGGAATGTAGATCGCCCAAAACAAAAAGCTGTATAAATAGTTCTCTCTTTACCATGACAGAAAGGTGCAACATCCGCAATGACCCATTGAACCCTTTCCATTTTTGAGCGTTTTTCTATCCCTTTGATTATAGACTTATTACATGGTTTATACATGAGTTACCCACATGTGCTTTATGGTTTTGTTTTCAGGACATTCTGGGCTACACAGATATGTCATAATTTGATGTGTAAATGCTGACACAGTCTTGATATCATCCTTCTTATGAGGAAAAACTACTTGCACCTGCTGAAATTTCTCAATTTTCAGTCTCATCAATTAAAAATTTGCAGGCACTACAAATATGATCTTACAAATGTTGATATTAGAGTTTCTATGATGTGGGAATGCAGGGGTTTCATTGGGAACCTTTCTATGGCTTAGTATTGTGAAGTATTACATGCTTAGTGCCAGGCGGAAATGAATATATTTGCTTTTACATTCATTCTGTAAGTTGTTGAGATGATCTGATAGACTGCAATGCATGCTTGTTTATATGTATATATAGCAACAGCAACAACATTGAATTCTTTTAAACATAAGTGACATTCATAGTTGTACTGGACCGTTCAGTCTTGCTTGTCTGGGATAGCTGTGGTGTGACTGTGGAAATCATAAACTTATCATACATGCATGGCATCCTGTTCAGGAGTTTAAACAGGTGCCTCCTGAACTTCTGGCCCACAAAGACATAAATGATGGGATTCAAGCAGGTGTGGGAGTAGGCTAGAGCCTCCGTCACCTGCAGGCTCAACTGAATGGCTTTGCTGGATTCACATGCTGTGTAGATACTGAGCACTTCTAGTGCCTGGAAGAAAGATGCAACATTGTAGGGGGTCCAACAGCAGAAGAACACCATGACCACCACCACCACAAGGCGTATGGTGTTCCTGTTTTTTGACTTGCAGAGGAGTATTCTCCTCAGGATCCTCAAGTAGCAAAACACCATGATGAAAAATGGAATCAGAAGGCTGGTCACATTCATTTTAAACAGGCCAAATGCTCTCAGGTGTGCCTTACTTTTATAACCAACTTCACACAAGCTTGTGTGATTTTGTAAATGAACATCAATGAGCGTTATTTCAGGAAATGAAGCCAAAAGTCCTACGATCCAGGTTACAGCAATCATGATGGCTTGATATCTGCGTGTTCTGGTTTTGAGGGAACTCACTGCATGAACTACAGCCAGATAGCGGTCGATGCTCATGATTATGATGAAGAAGATGCTGCTGTTGAAGCCAATGTAGTAGCTGCTCATGACGACTTTGCACGTGAAAGGACCGAAGACCCAGTCCGCTCTCGAGTAGTGGGCCAGGAAGGGCAGGGTGATGAGTAGCAGAAGATCCGCTCCAGCCAGGTTCAGGAGACAAATGTCTGTGATGCTCTGAAGCTTCACAGACATCAACATGACCCACACAACGAGGCCATTGCTGATTACCCCGAACACGAAGAGCAGGGAATAAAACACAGGCAGGAAAACAGCGCTGTGTCTGTCATACTTGCATGGTGCAAAATCCTCATAGTCATACTCATAGGAGTATTCGGGGGTGGTATAGTCCGATGTGAAATCATCCTCACTGTAAAATATAATGCAAATGAATTAAGGGATTCAGTACAACACAAAATATAAAAAGCAAGACAAAGTTGATTAGAATTAAAGCAATAAAAAATAAATGATCAACTTAATAAAAACGTAATAGTAGATAAACATTGGGTTTTCAACATAACAGAAACACCACTCAGTATAATACCCTATAAAGAACAGGGCCACTCTTTGCCTTCAGAACAGCTTCATTCCTTCCTCTAATGCTGTCATGCAAGAGCTTAACTGTGTGCAGTGGGATTTTGGACCAAAGAAAAGCCTCCCAGACTTGAGGGATGCAGGTAGGTATCTACTTCAGACTCTGCACTCCACTACTTCCCATGAAGGTTAGCTGCTGGTGAGATATAGCCATGGAGGCCATTTGACTTCATTCCACGCTTGAATTCCTTTTCACTTCAGCAGTATGGAGGTATTCTCATCTTGGAATATGAGAAAATCATGAAGAAACAGTGTTTTTGCAATAGTTTACACCTAGTCCTATGAAATGGCCTCATATTCATCGGCTGTTATATACAGAGCCTGGTGGGGGAAGTAATAGTTACACTGAGAAAGCGACTTACAATTTGTGAAATAGACTTTTCATGGCTATAATTGGCTATTTGTGTGCATGATTTGTTTCTCCCAAAGGCGTACGCAACACCAGTCCCGTCTTCAGAGACTCGGGACAGCTCCTTCATGGTAGATGGTAGCTCTTGGAATTCTCTGAAAATCGCATGACGCGTAACTCACAAAAACACCCCAACAGTCAGACC